GCCAACATATTGTATGATCGTGGCGAGCGTCTCGCGTTGTTCAATGAGGGGCGAGTCCCAAGGAGTTCCGGCAGATCCCGATAATGTGTATAGCGATGATGTGCGCGAAGAAGACGAGCTCCGTTGCCGCCTTCTAAGAATGTGACGCTAATGGGCAGTTCAAGCTGGACTCCCAATTTTCCGTAGAAACGTGTAGACGAAGGGTGCATTCAAATGTGGATGATAGGTGGCGATGAGGGCCTGCTCCAAAGCGCGAACTTGTTATACTTCTGTGGGTCGATGCTGTAATGTGATCGGCAGGTAATGGTCGTACGTACCGGCCGCGTGCCAAATACGGAGAGCGGGCTCGAAGAACGCTTGGGTGCCCGAACATAGTTGATTGTATTTCGATCGGCGGCTGACTTCCCGGTCCGTGACCGTGTGAATCGTGGAGCCGATAAACCATCCTTGGTGTTTGTGGGAGACCTTGAGGTAGACAACGCTGGACTGTAGGTGGTGTCGCAAGGTGTACCGCTGAACGTCCAGGTTGTGGAATATGTCATGAAGACCTCGGTGGTTAGTAGTGGTGGGAAACCGCAGGCGATGAAGCTGTAGAAACCATAAAGCTCGAACCCAGGAGAGACGGCCAAAGATGTGATGCGGGAGGACTTGTCGAGCCACCGGTAACGCTGCAATATAAAAATCCAGAAAAGATCCGAGAAGTCTGTGTGGGTGGGGAGGTAGCCGGTGACGGGTTAGAGGTCGTGAGGGAGGATGTAGGTCCTCCTCATCATCGTCTCCCAAGTCTTCGTCAAACAGGTGGTCGAAGCTGAAGATCTCCAGGCAGAAGAGGAGTCGAAGAGGCGAGGTTTGTAGGGTGTGGGCGATCTGGACACGAGTCAGTGCATATCTGGTCGCCAACCAATCGTGGATGCGGGAGTCGGATACTATACGTGTGGTATAAGTTGCTCCAGGGCGCCTTCCAAAGCGTCCGCGGTGAGGTCCGAGTCTTTGGCCCAGCCTGTGGGTATAGTGATCGACGATCTGGTCAGCGAAGAAGTTCCTGTGGAGGAAGGTGTAGAGGCCGAAGGCGGGTGGGGACCAGAAGGAGAGGAGGGACAAGTATAATGTAACCGAAGTAGCGGCATTTTGTGGGTGAGATCAGGAAGACGAGAATGTGTAGTACCGGGAGGTGGCGGTGGAGTCCATGTGGTAGAAGATGAGCGTAAGTGGGTGGATGTGCTGGTAGAACGCAGTGGAGGTGGAACAGTTAACGGCCGGGAGGTCAAGGGTCTCGATGTGCGGGACAATGTCCGGAATGTGGTCGAGGTAGTATTGAAACCCGAGGATGGCCGTGATGCAGAGGAAGGAGAGGAAGAAGAGAAAAGCTCCTGACGTAGGTGTCGAATAAGATCGTCTTCACGTACAGCAGGAGGACGTATTTGTACTGGAGAATGGCACGCTGTGACCTGTCGTATGACGAGAAGTAGGGCGTCGGTGGACTCAAAGGCGACGGGGTAAACGTCCCGACCGTTGGCAAAACGGCGATACAAGGGATGAAGAGGGCCCTGATGTAAGACGTCCATATAAGTCGGAGAGTCTGAAATTGTCGTCCTCCGCATACTCGTGGCTGAGGAACACCGTGTTGAAGTGGAGAATGGATCCGGCGCGGAGTTCGGGACCGGGATCGCTCACGGACCATTGGGTGGGGGGAATAGGGAAGCGTCGAGGACCTGGGCGAGCAGTGTCGTCGTCGGGTAGAAAGTTTGGAGGGAAGAAGGAAAATAATGGTCCTGAGGGTCTGTTGTATCAGGGTCGTCGTCGACGCCGATGCGGGAGCATTCCGAGTAGTCTGGTCCCGTGGTCGTTGTGGGACATCCGTAGAAGGGCTCGCAACCATGACGGGGAGGATCAAGAAGTGGATCATGTAGTGCTCGAGGACGAAACGAGGATCGAGACCGTGATCGAGAGAACCGGAAGGGGACTGGTTCCGACCTAAGGTGGGCGTCGAGGCCAGGTTCGGGAGGTTGTTTGGCCTTGAGCGACGAGCTGGCCGTGGATCCAAGTCGGGCGCTCGTAGGAGGTGCACACACACACGCAGACACACCAGCCTTCCAGCCCTCCAGGCCTCCAGGCGTCCTTCCAGCCCTCCAGGCTTCCAGTTCTCCAGCATTCCCGCCTCCAGCCCTCCCAGGCTTAACTTCCAGCCTTCCATCGGGAGGGCCTCTAGGCGTCCAGCTCCAGCCTCCTGGCCTCCAGCCTCCCAGGCCTCCAGCCTCCAGCCAACAGTATCCAGGGCCAGATTTTGTCGTTTCGTGTTTTTGTTCACGTATAAGGCATGTGAATCTGTAGCACACATCGCAGCACTGGCTCTAGCACTTGAGTCTTCTCGAAAAGCGAGAATAGCCTAACTACTGCCCCAGTAGTTCGCCTGTGCCTTAGAGTGACGCCATGTTGCCAGTAGAGGTTGTTGTGCCTCTCACCATGCTCGCCTGGGACCTGAACCAAGCCCCGCCTTCGCCCAGGCCTCCGCCTTTGCCTCCGCGGTGGACGTGTCCCCCAAACTTTGCCTTTGCCCCAGCCAGGCTTGCTTCCCATGACGGAATGTTTTGCCTTGTCGCCGCATGAAGGACAGCCTTTAGAGCCTTGCCTCCAGGAGTTTCTTTTTTCCTGGACAGTTTGCCCTCGCATACTTGTTTGCCTTCAAGTGCATGAATGGTTGCCTCTCATTTTAGCCAATGACGAGTGCCATCAGCTTATGATCGAAATGCTTTTCTGAGCCCTTCTGTCCCTCAGGCGGCCGCCGGGGTCTCAGCCATGGCTCTGGGTCACCTTGACCCATATTTTCTGCCTTTGTGCATTTTGCCTTACCAATGGCACGTGCTAGGCCTTGTAGCAGCCTTGCCTCTTCCAGGTTTCATGGGTCAGCCTAACAGCTCTTGCCTGCAGGACCTTCTTCTGTCAGGTACAGTCGGGCCGAGCATCTTGTTGTTTGCAGGTGGACCTTCCTGGTTGCCTCTAACCTTGCTTTCTCAGGAGTCCCACGAATATATGGTTTCACATTTGGACATCTCTGACTCGGGAACCGCCTGGCTAGGGCCCCAGCCTGCAGAACCAGATTCAGAGCTTTCTCCGGGAGCCTCCCAACCCTAGCCGAGCCAGCCGATACACAGCCGCCAGCTCAGACTCAGCCGGAGCGTGCTCAGCTGCCTTTAGGGGGGGGTACCAGAGCTACCATTTTCTTCCTCCAGCCTAAATCGAGCGGTTTGCCATCTCGCCTCAGGGCTCCGAGGAAGCTAGCCATGGTTCAGGCAGCGTTTGGCTAGCCCTTCACAGCCCTCAGCCTTCCTCAAGAACAAGCAGCTCGCAGGCCTCCAGCCTTGATTCAGCCATACCCGGGTTGCGTTACCGCCACCCTTTGCCTTGGAGCCCTTTCAAGGTTCCGCTTCTCTGGCTTCTACAGCCGCCCCTCTACAAAGTGCTTTGGTTCCCTACTAAGGTTTTAGGAGAGCCTGATTGGAGCCTTGAGGGCCTCCTCTTCGGAGTGGCACCTACAGGAAGTCGTTGCCCTCTGCCTTCTTAACAAAGCCTGTCACGACTACATAGCATAGCGGAGCGCATCACCAAGGCCCGCGGATGAGATGGCCTTGACGCCTTCCATCCCGGGCCCTCAGCCGGCCGAGCCTTTGCGCATCCAGCATTTAGGGGCTTACGCCTTGCCCTCTGCAACGGGCAGGCCGTTGCAGCCGGAAGCCGGTCAAGCCTAGCAGGTACCTGAAGCCTTCCATGAGCCCGTTTCTACAACTGGCCTTGCTGCTCCGCTCTGCCCCGCCAGGTTTGTTCGAACCCAAGCCAGCGCCTCAGCCTCCTAAGCCGGTCCTTGCATGCGCCAAGATGCTAGTTAGAGCGGGTCTCCGCTGCCCTTCCTGCTTTCAAGTTAAGCCTCGGTTCGCTTCGTCAGGAACCTCGCCTCCAGTTCCGCCCGCTACATCACCGGCCTTCAGTGCTTCGTCGGTGGACGGACAGCCCGACTCAGCCGATTTCTCAGGTTCGACTTGATCTTCTACATGAAGCCGGCCCGGGCCCTGCCTGCCAGTTCAGCTTTTGGTTTCAGCCTCTCTTGTGCAGCTATCTCGGCTGAGACACAATGAAGGGGCATCAGCAGCCCCGCCGCCAGGATCAGCGTGCACAGCGCTCTCCTTGGCCTTCCCATGCCAATAGCCCTGCGCTCCAATGGAATCAGGGCCAGCCGACAGCCAACATGACGAACCTCTCAGCCATGGGCCGTATGAATGCGGGCCTTTCCGGGCCTCTAGCCTTTGACCCTGACACCAGCTCAGCCTACGAAGCCGTGCAGCCTCAGCCTTACACCCAGGACTTCAGCCAGCCAGGAGCCCACCGAAGAGCCGACAGGATTCGCTCACTGGAAGCCCGTATCGGTATCTTAGAAGCCGACCGCCGCGGGGCTCAGCAAGCCTTGTGGCACCACAGCCGTCGAGCCCACGAACAGCCACGCCTTCGTTGCCTGCTGTCCCCATGGGTGTTCATCAGTGCCAAGATTGACGCCGTCAGGATTCGCCTTGATCAGACCTATGCCAGGCTGGCAGGCTTGCTGCTGACCCTTCAGCAAGCCTTCCCGCCTATCGCGGCCTACTTCACTGAGGTCGCCGTGGACGCGTGCCAATATCAGGGACCGTCAGCCTTGCTGGACTCCGAAGGAGACCCAGAAGCCTAGCCTTTCAAGCCTTGCCAAAATCAGCTTTGCTTGCATGCCCTCTCGCAGCCCCACATGTAAATACAGTCCTGCCTGCGCTCAGGTCACCCACTCTCCAGGCCAGGTCTTTCTTTGCCGATTTATTCTTGGGATTGCCCCCCGGCCAGGTCACTAGCCAGCCTTCGACGCCGGTCCGCAGGACCCCTGCCCGCCGTTCGCTCCTGAAGCCTTCTTGCTTAACCTGCCCTTTGCAATGCCCTCAGCATTTTCTGCAACAGCGCATATGGGAGCTTCCGTCGCAGCAGCCATGGCATCAGACCACAACCCGCTTGGCGACTGGCTGAAGACGCTGAGCCAAGATGAGCTTGAGAAGCTCAGAGCCATGCATTCTGCATCAGCGCAGGCAGCAGCCGTCCGATAGTTCTTCGGGCCTTTCCCCGCGTAGCCTTCTTATCTACCAGAACCAGGAAGCTTTTTACCATGCGCAAGACGGATGTTACACAGGCCCTATTCCAGCTTGTTTTGACTACGTCCCACCTCAGGACACCGAGGACCTTGAAGAAGCCGCAACGGCCCAGCCTTCCCAGCCTTCAGCATCTGCGGGGGATGCCGACACAGCTGCCGTAACCGAGCTGCCAATCGAAGCCGAAGAAGAGTACATGCCTATGGAGGAGCCTTTTTCTTCCACAGCCTTCCATGCCGAGCCCCAAGAAGGTTTGTACTCCATGATGGGGGAACTCATCGCCGTGCCTTCCATAGTCATTGCAGCCACACACACCAGCAGCCTATGCCACTGCTTTTCTTTGACCCTGAAGCCACAACCAAAGCCGATCAACCTCCACGAGCTGTGGCAGCTTATTAAGCGTCCCGACCTGGGAGTGGCCAGAGAATCAGGAGCCTACTTAACAGCCGACAGGTTCGCGGTCAGCCCTCCAGCCAGCTTTTTCCCTTCCTTCCCCAATGCTCCCATCAACCGCGAGGCGGATACCTCCCCGATGCCTCACGCCAAGGCCGAACCTCCGCCGGTCAAGGCAGTGCCTACTGGAGCCGTCCCGCCACCAACAAAGCAGCCACCTGCCTCCAAGCCTTCACAGCCAACCAAAGAGAGGCCGCAGCAAAAGCGCCCTTGCGAGGTTTTGCAGAATTGGAAGCCTCCAGCAGAACAGAATTTCCTGCCAGACGCTGCCAAAGCCCAGCCTTCGGAGCCCAAGACCAAGGCCATGCAGCGGTGCAGCACCCACCGCCACCCAAGCCAAAGGCATCCTTGCCAGAGTCAGGGCCGGACGCTTAACGCCCCATCGTCCGCAGCCTTCCACAGAGCCTTGCCCCGCCCCAACTCCCCAGAGAAGGAGTTTTCTTCGAGCCCGAGTTCCTTGCAGCCGAGCACAAGACCAAGTACTCTGGCCCCTATCGCCCTGCCAAGCCTTTCGGGCTGGCGGTCATCTACGATTGCCGCACCTGGATCAACTTCTACGGCGTCGAGCCTCCCTACTGCCATAGACATAGATGCGGGGACCTATTTCTATACTGTGGAGCCAGGCGCCGCCGAGCCTTTGCCTTCACAGCCGCAGCCTAGCCAGGACTCGCAAGACCAGCCTACGGACGAGGTGGAGTTCGAGCAACCCCTGCCACTTCTCGAGTGGTTCTCAGCCGACACGGGTGTGCTCCGCTATTGGCGCCAGGAAAGAATAACCCCCGGAATATGGGGAAGCAGTCAGTCCCTCCCATGTGCTTTCAGGATCCGAGACGCCTTCCCGAAGCCTTGGTGGACCGCCGCAAACAGCTCACGATTGAGCCTCCAGCCGACCCTTACCTTTACAAGCCGCCAGCTATGGCCTTGCCAAGATTGCCTTGCTCGAACATGCGCAACTGCATCATGTTGCCCAGCCTTACGCTGCCGCACACGTACGAGCTTGACCCAGCCTTCGCCCGGGTGTATTATATGGGCAGCCGTGGTGAGTTGCGTTGCGGCCTTCCGTGCTCGACCGTGCCTTTCTGCCCTTTCCATTCAGCCTGTGGTCGTGAGCTCAACCGTAATTCGGTTGAGCACGACGATAAGCACTCGGGCCACCAGTGCTCGCGCTGTAAAGAGTTCACAGACCTTGGACGAAGCCCTTTTGAATGGTTTTCAGCCGTCCCCCCGCAGGCCTCCACGGGGTAGCCGTTTGCCTTTGCAGCCTTTCACGAGCCTTTCAAGCCGTCATTGCTTTAGCCTTTAACATGCCTAGCTACCAATCCTCACGCAGGCAAGGGCATGCGGCGGCACTTGCCGCGAGACAGCCGCCATCGGCCCCTAAAAAGTGACTCGTGCCTCCTTCGCCTGTCAGCCAAATCAGAATCGTTGCTGACGAACTCACGCCTGACCCTGCAGGACCTGGCCAGCCTTTCGCGCAGCGAGCCCAGCTTTACAATCTCTCTTTGTGTCAGCCTTCTGTTTGTTGATGCCCTCCGTCAGCTCACTATGCATCTAGACACAGACCAGGGTGAATTTAGCGGCCTTTGAGTCATGGAGCCCTGTCAACAGCATTCACAGCGACGCTCAGCGCACAGGCAGATCCCTCCCTGCTCCACGACCAGCCCTCAGCCGCAGCAGGAGCCCCAGCCGCGACGGCCCACCCTCACCTCAGCAGGATCCAACCACTGTGGTGAGGAGGTTCCGGAAAGCTTCAACAGTCAGCCCTATACTCTCGGGCACAGGTGCGTCAGTGCTGCTGCCCTTGCAAACGGCGCCCAAAGCCCACCCAGGCCTTCCCCCTCCGGCCCTGCCGCCGTCCCGCCTTTCTCCGTTCACAGCCTTGTCAGACCTCTCTCTCTTCGTGCACCTTTGCCTTCAGGACTGCCGCTCAGCAAGGGGGGGCTCGCTCAGTCGCCGGGACCCCGGCATGGCAACCTGCTGGGAGTCAGCCATCCATTCAGCAAGCCTCTTCTACCCCCCCCGCCGAGAAGCCTCAGATACGTTGCCCCACAACGGCCGCAACCTGCCATGCACCGGCCACTCGGGCCTAGATTCCAGACGCCACCCACACAGCCCGATGGTCGGCCTACTCAGGTTACGCGAAAGGGCCGAGAGGCCTCCAGGAAGGCCCGGGCCCTCGAACAGTGGAAGGAGCTTCTTTGGCTCCTGGGTGACTCAGCCGATCTCTACCGCAGCCTTCAAGAAGCTAAGTATTTGCAGCAATTGCTCACACAAAGCATACTCCCCTTCACAGCCGGCACGCTGGAGACCTACTTGTCAGCCTGTAAGCAGTTCATGGAATATCTCGTCCTCAACAGCCTCGACGTCACGTCTATCTCCGTAGCTAGCCTAGGAGACCTGTTGTGGGCCTGCCGCTCCAGCCTCGAAGAGGACAGAGAAGTGTGTCGCACTGGCCCCAAGCCAATGCTTAAAGCCTTAGCCTGGCTGGCTAAGACAGCGGGCCTCGCCCAACTCTCGTCGGCGCTTTCAGACCGCCTTATCAGGTCCTTCGCGTCACAGTCCGAGACGGACAGGAGAGAAGCCCTACCCCTGCCACTTGCGGTAGTCGTAGCGTGGGAGCACCGCATCTGCCAGCCGGACTGCCATTAGAGCTCTGCCTTCTCCTAGGGGGGGTTTCCTGTTAGCCTTGCACGGGGGACTTCGGTTCGGGGACCTCCAGCGCATCAGCTTGAAAAGCCTGTCTCTCACAGGGCATAGCCTTAGAGCGGTATGCTGGCACACCAAGACAACCAAGCGAGGCCAGCCTTTTGCCGTCCGCCTTCACGGGATTTCGGGGCGAGACCCTTCAAGCCTTTGGGTCCTCCCTTTCCTTAGGGCAGTCCAAGCAGCTTGGTTGCGGACAGAGTCGATCTACGGATCACAAACATGCCCTGATTTGAGATCAGCGCATAGGGCGCAAGAAACGCCCCAGCCTTCGCCCTCACGTCGTCAGCCTCACCATCCTCTCGGATGGAGCATCTGCCACCGAAGCTTAGCTCCGAGGTGGTCCAGGACCTGGTCACCACCTTTAAAGCCAATTATCCGGGCGAGTTCCTGGACGATGACACTATGCCCTCGATACGCCTACTTAGCCTTGTTCAGCATAGCCTCCAGCCAGATGAGAAGCTGAAGTGGATACCGTGGCAGCTGCGCCTTAGCTCCAAGCAGTATTCCGAAATCATAGAGGCCAAATCCTCCAAGCCTATGCGAACGGAAGCCCAGCTGCTCGCGTCGGCCATATACGACGACACTCCCGAGATGTCCGTCTCCCATCTCCGCCTTTCAGTGTCCTGGTTGCAGCGCATCCAGACTGTCTTCAGGAACGCCTGGGCTTTATGTGGAGCAGCCCACCTCAATAACCTGAAAGCCTTCGACAAGCGCGTCGAGCATTTAGCCCTACCGGATCTAGCCGACTCCTCCCTCCGAGGTCCTACCACCCAAGAACTCCTTGCAGCAGACCGCAAGATTTGGAATACCATCTCTAGCCTTGTTGGGTCTGGATGGAGCCTTGATGAAGCCTTGTATGAGGTCACCAGCATCCGAAGCGACCTCGCCAAGCTCCTTCAGCCAAGACCGCGCCCGCCGCCAACGCCCCCGGGGCCCAATCGCAGACCCAACGCGGGGAACCCTCCCCCGCCGCCAAGCAAGCGGACTCGCCTTATAACCCACAAGCCCCGGAGAAAGGAGGCAAAGGCAAAGGCCGCGGCAAAGGCCTTCAGAAGCCGGACAGCCCATCTAAGTCAGAATCATGGCCAGCCAATTGGGTCTTGAAGGCCAAGGGTAAGGTGCTCTGCAAGCGTTACCAGCGAAATCTTTGCGCCTTGCCGAATTGCAAGTTCGCCCACCTCTGTGCAGTCAGAGGATGCGGCAAAGAACACTGTGCCATTGACCATGACAAAAAGCCCTCCTGACTAGCCCAGGCATCGGAGGCACTGCAGGACAATCAGCCTTTTGCGCCTCCTTCCAGGAACTTGTCCGACGTACTCCGAAGCCACCAACCACCTCCCCGCAGTCGCCTCGGCCCACACAGCCACAGCCACGGCCTCAGCCTTCGCCAGCTCAAGTCAGGAACTCCGGGGGAGGCCCGGCCAGCCGACGCTTCGCCAACCGGGTCTGGACGTCGATCAGCCAACGCAAGCCTCCGAACCCCCTTTAGTCCCCAGCCTTAAGACCCTAGCGGTTTGCCCCTCTATACCCATAGGGGCCACCTGTCTGCGGCACGCTCAGGATGCCAACGTGTGCGCCATAGACCTCTCCCGTGAGGGCCCGCAGCAACTGCCTGACCTTCTTTTACAGGCCATCTGGTTTAGACTTGTCCTCGGCGTCCTGGCCGACCTCGCTTCGCTAGAGCCTGCGGCTTCCTGCTGGCGTCTCAGCCCTGCTCTTCCTTCCGGCCGATCACTTCCTGTTTCACTCATCGCCCTTCTGTGAGGCGCTCCACGATGGAGGACTCTTCTTATGCCCGGAGCTTGATTCCGACCGAGTCATTCTGGCCACAGCTCCCCTGCCCACTTGGCCCTGCGCAGACCGGCCTCTTCGCGGCTATGCCCCTATCCACCAAGCCTGCTCAGCCTCTCACTCTCACCTCAGCTCTACAGAGCCACGGGGAGTTAGTAAAAAATAGGGCACCCATCTGCGACGGCGCAGGCAACGCCAGCTCAGCCGATTGGAGCCACCCCAAACCAAGCCCTGCGGCAATGCAGGACATCATGCAAGCATGGTTACAATGGGCCTCCCAGCGGGATCTGCCCAAGCGCGTTTTGCCCATCTTTCCCAGAGTAAGCCGGAGCATCCGATCCCCGAGGAAGATCAGCTTCAGCTGATTAGGATAGCCTGCGAGGTCATGGACTGGGATTCACAAATTACAATTCCATGATCCAAGCAGCCGACGGCCAGCCCTTCCGCCTTAATCTTATGCAGGCCTTCGCGGATTTCCTGGACGATCCTGACAAAGACCTTCCCGCACTGCTCCGAGTCGGGGTCCACACAGGGGTCTTCGACGAAATTCAGCCGTCGGGGCTAGCCAAGATCCAGCCCCTAGCCTCCTCGGGTGGAGGTTTGTGAACGCAATTGGAAACCCGCCGAAGCCGACCCAGACACGGTGCGTAGCCTTCTAGCAGAGGAAGAAGCAGCAGGGTGGATCAAGACCGTGCCAGGAGGTCTTGAGGAAGCCAAGCGCATCTGGCCCAAGGGCATAGCCGTGGGTAAGCTCAGCCTAGTCAAAGCGGAGAACAGAGACCCACGACTCGTCCTTGACAGCACCGTCTGCCAAGTGAGCCCAATGTGCCGCATCCCAGAGGCGGTCTCCATGCCTACAGTTAACGACGTCCGAGCCACCTTCATGCCTTCCGACCCGCGGGGCGTCTTCCTGGCAGCTAGCGTGGACTTCAAGGCAGCCCACAAGCGCATTAAAGTACATAGCTCCGAGCAGGGCCTTCTCCTCTTCATGTTCGAGAAGATACTGTACAGGTACGTCGTTTGTCACTTCGGAGCCAAGTTCTCCGCCTACTGGTGGCAACGAGTGGGCGGCCTCATCACGCGCGTAGCGCACCATGCGCTAGCCTTCGCACCACACAAAGCCTGGCTTTACGTTGACGACTTGCTCTCAGCCCTGCTCCGAGCCTTCGCGCCAGAACTCCTGTTCCTTCTCATAGCCACACTTTCAAGCCTTGCGGCCCCTATCAGCTGGAAGAAGGCTTCGGTAGGGGACAGCCTGGTCTGGTGCGGGTGGCATTTTAACTTTCGCCTTGAGACGGTGGACCTTTGCGAAGCCAAAAGGTCTAAGTTGTGCGCGCAACTCGAAGCCTTGCTGGCACGTAAGAAGGTTCCCCGCAAGGACCTCGAAGCCTGCATCGGCCTCCTTATGTGGGCGACAGCCATAAGCAAGGTCCTTCGAGCCCACGTGGCCCCATTATACAGTGTCTTGAACAGCCCGCCTCGGAGTAACTGTTCGATCTCTCCGCGGATGTGGCCAGCCTTCATTCACAGCCTTGACTCGAGAGCAGTCATCTGCAGACTGGTGCCAGGGGTCAACCTGCCCCTCGGAGCTCGCATCATAGAGGTCGGCAGTCGACCCGTACACTGCAAGGCAGACCTACCGCCCCAGCCCAAGTCCTCGATCAGGACCCACATGGGTCCGCATATCGGATCCCACCTGCCCTGAGATCAAGCTTACCAACACAGCCCAGGACAGTCTTAGATGGCTT